ACTAGGTAGTACGAAGGATACAAATGTAGCATTTGAGGTTCTCATGGACATGTGGGTCCTCAGAAACATAGCCCTGGACTTGAGGTCAGCATCGATTCAAAACTCTGTCAAGAGCTCCCCCTGATATATTCCCTTTGTCTAGGTTAACCAAAGGATACATTATGGTAAAGCAAATGACATTATAACAAAAAAGTGTAACTAATCCTAGGTGACACCCATCTGACCTGATGAGAGGTACCCTAAAACTCAAGGGAGGCTAGAATTAAGGAAGCCCTCCTTGACCAAGACACACAGACCCATTAGGAAGTTAAAGTTGAGGTAAAGTTAGTTTATTATTGCCAAGTAAACCAAAAGTTCAGCAGTGCTCAAGAATTTCCATTAAGGTCCTTGTACTCCTATGACTGGCTAAGTCAGTCAATAAGCAGTTAGGTACTTACTATATGCCTGGCACTATGCCAAGTTCTGGAGATACAAAGGAAGACAAATCCCTTCCAACAAGGAATTTACATTTAAATGGGGGAGATAACAAGTAAAGAAATAGGAGGCATAGAGAATATGTGGAAGGTAATCTTAGAAGAGTAGACTTGAGAAGCTGGGAAGACTAAGAACAGTATCCTATAGAAAGTGAGACCTGTGCTGAGTCTTTAAAAAAAAAAAAAAGCAAGGGATTCTAAAAGAAGGAGATAAGGAGGAAGAGCATTTCTGAGCACAGCCAGAACAGAGGCATAAACAGAATAGACAGGAGTGTTGTGGATTGAGGAACAGTAACAGGCTAGCACTGTTTGTGTTAGAGTATACAAAGAACAAAGTTTAAAAGGGCTGGGAAGGTAGAAGGGGACCAGGTTATGAAGATCTTTAAATGCTCAACAGGTCCCAGAGGTATTTGATGCTAGAAGTAACTAGAAACCCCGGGAGCTCAGGGAGCAGAGGAGTGAAATGGTCAGTCATTTTTAATCTTTACAAAAATCGTTTTGGCAGCTAAGTGGAGAATGCATTGTAGTAGGAAGAAACTTGAGGCACAAGGCTTTTGTCATAGCTCAAGTGACACCTGATGGTAGTTTGACTAGGTTTGTGGATATGAGAGTTGAGAGAAAGGGACATACAAGAGATGTTGTGAAGATAGGAACCACAAGGTTTAGTAACAGATTGTATACATGGGGTGAAGGAGAGTGAGGAGTCAAGTGTGACACCAAGGTTGTGAGCCTAGGTGACTGGGAGAGTGCTGTTATCCTTGCTAGAAATAGGAAAGTTGGGAATAGAAGAGAGTTGATGGGGGAATGGTAAGATCTGTTTTACACATATTGAGGTTGAGAAGCCTGCAGGACATCTAGTTCAGAATGGCTGTTGGTGACACGCAGGAGTCCTATCTTGCCAGTCCTCCCAAAGAAGGTAAAGAAGTTTGCAGTTGGCCTTTAAGTAGATACTGAGCCAGGTATCCAAATTCCATCATGTGAGCCCTTCCTCCCACAGAAGGTCACAGAAATCCATATTTACTCTGGGGTCTCATTTCTCCCTCAGCCTGAGTTTATACATGTAGACTTTGGGGGTGATGCTGAAGAGAGCACAGGGGCAAGGTGGTATTGATTTATATAAACCAATTATTATAAACTCTGTGTATGTATGTATGTGTGTGTGTTATGTAATAATAGCTTTATCACTGTTGTATACATGGACCAGCCAGGCCATACTTGGTGTCATCAATGATGAGACATTTGGTGAAGACAGCCTGATCTCCATGGCAGATGCGTAACTGGCTCTCTATTTTGCCTGAACTGGAAATCCAGTTCAGCTTTGCTCGTTAACAGAATGTCGCCTCACCCAGGAATTCTTATGGGAAGGAAGCCCAGGAATGGGCTTTTGCTGAGCTGAGTTCCCAGAACCCACGCTTCTGGTTCAAGGTGGAAGAAAGACCAGAGGGTAACCAAGAACTGTACATGGCATATCTTCAGTTCCTTGTCACCCCTTTCAGCCATTCCAGGCAGCTTATCTTCTCTCTTGAGGTTCTCTTTGGTCTATTCACTTTACTCAGTCTCCAAAGACTATAGGGTTGCAGTCCCTAGTTAAACACTGTTGTCTTAGGTTACCTCACTCTTCAGAGACCTCTTACCCAACATAGCTGGATGGTGCAATGGCTAGAATATTGGAACTAGAGTAGGAAACCCTGAGTTCAAATATGACCTCTGACACTTACTGGCTGTGTGACCTTAAGCAAGTCACTTAAGCTATGTTTGCCTATTTCCTCAACTTAAAATGGTGATAATAATAGTGCTTAACTCACCAGGTTATTGTGAGGATCACATAAGATCATATCTGTGAACTGCTAAGTACAGTTCTTAGTACTCCTAGGCACTATATAAATGCTTGATGCTGCTCCAACTACTGCTATCAGTGGATTGCTGCCTCCATCCTCAGTTTGGGTTCAATTCTAACCCTGCTCACTTTTAAATTATAGATGGTAGATAATCAGATTTCCTTTCAGTATCAGACAGGGACTCCTTCTTTGGTCCCCTAATTCTCCCATAACAGGTTGTATGGCTGGGAAGGTACATTTAAGCTAGATTGTGTGGAAAGTTGTCACATGGAGGGTCAAAGGATTTGGCCTTTATTGTCTGGGCACTGGGGAGAGCCTTTAAGAGATCTGGGACAAGCAGGGAATATTAATCGGGCAGCCACGTGCATGATGGAATGGACAGGGAGAGATGGAAGACACAGAAACAAGTCCAGAAGGCTGCTTCAGTATTCAAGGTGTGAGGTGATGAAGGCCTGAACCAAGGTGGTGCTCATAGAAAAAAAGAGGTAGATAGGAAGAAAGAATTTGCAAGAGGTTTTTTTGTTTGTTTGTTTGTTTTTGTTAAATGGTCTGAGTTCCTTAAGCATTCCAGATCCAGGGACTTATAAAAGGGGTAGGGAACAAATTTGTTCTGTGAAGTTTGGATTCAGTCAAAGGGACACACTTGAGGACCTAGAGGGCCATATGTGGCCTCAAGACCCAGGTTCCCCATCCCTGACTTATAACAAAGACTTGGGAACAGAAAGTAGCAGATTAACAGGCTTAAATGAATACAGTATAAATTGTGTATGCAAATTGGCACAAGATGGTAATGACTGCCCAGCCTTATACTTAGTTAAACGAGAATACGGCAGTGTTTTTTCACCCCTGAAATGATGCCATCTTTGGCAACCCTTCCATTCCTAAGTTAGCTGTAAGTAGCCCTTATCCTCAGTCTCTGTAATGGCATTACTCAACAGCTGGTAGTTATCATTTCTTCCTCTCCAGATCTGACTTCCAAAATAAATCATAAATTTGCCTCTTCTGAAGCTTGTGTCATACTCTTTGATCCCTAACATTTGAATCCCTATTAAAATGTCTCTTGGAGTCATCTCTAGTGACATTACGGTAAGGGTTCCCACAGAATAATCCCACTTGATCTTGCCTTTGAATTTTATTTGGATGATGAATTGTCGTTTGAATGTCTCTGTGATCCCTCTTCTGGCCCCCAGAGACTCTGTGTTGGTCTCTCTCCCTGCTTCCCTGCCGTCCCTCCCACTTTCCTTCAGGGATAGGGGAAAATCAAAGAGACTGCCCTACAAGGGAGAGCACTGTCTACCTTCCTCATTCCCCCTCTGCCTCATACTTCTCATCCCCCATGTCCTTGCACCACTTCCTTTACTACCTGGTCCTTGTACATGTTCCTGCTCCAATAGTAACTCCCATTTCCAGACCAAAATGCTTCCCTCAGAGCTGTCCAGGCCCGCAGCTGAATGAAGAAGGAATGTGAATATCCTCTCCTACCTCCACCACATAAGGCTGATGCTCCAGGATGAGCCCATGCTTTAGAGCAGGGGATTTTAACCCTTTTGGTTTTTTAATGTCATTGGCCTGAAATCTATGCATACCATGAAATGCACAGGATTGCAAATGATACCAACTATATTAAAATCAAGCTACCAAACTATTAATTTAAAAAGTTCAAAGATTGCCTCCCCCCCCACCCCAGGTTAGATAAACTGTCACTCTCTGACACTATGCCCAACCCCTGCCCCACACCTTGTTTTCCTGACCTTGCTCTACATGGCCTGCCCCTGGGTTCATGCCTTTTTCCTCTTGGACTCCATTTACCATTTTCAGGTTAACCCTCTGGATGTGGGCCTTTGTGAACTCTTGGTTTTGACCTCATCCCAGCTTTCTATTTACCTGCTGGGATGTGTGTTTGGACTATGCTTCTTCCCCACTTCCCTGTTTCCTGAGCTGTTACTTGCTCCCAAAATGTGACATGCATTCTACACCCCACCCCCAAAAAAGCTTCTCCTTCCTCCCCTTTCCCCCAGATGGGAGAGGGGACAAGAAACTGATAACTATAGCCTTATGTTACAGATAATGTGAATGCTATCATGTATGTCCATTTTACAGATGAAGAATTCAAGGTCGGGAGATCTTAAGCGAATTGGCCAGGATCACCCAGCTGGGAAGTGTCAGAGCCAGGTCTCTGACTCAGTGTTCTTCCCACCCCACCTCTGCCTCTCTTCTGAGGCTCCATTGCCACTCTGAAAGTGCAGCTGACATTCAGTAAACTTGAGCGGATCTCCAGAAGAAAACAGCTCCCGGCACTTCACCAACTGGGCCTCCTGGTCAGCATGCCAAGCACCACTCAGCTCCTCCCTCTCCAGGCCATTCTCCAATTCCTCTGTTACTTAACTCCTTTCCACGTTCTCCCTTCCCCCATCTCCTCCAGCCATTTCCTGCAGTGATCAGAGCTTATTCATCTTCTCCACTTCATGGTTGTGCCCTTGGCTGTGGGTCATCAGGGGCATGGGACAGCACAAAGTGCTGATGATGACATCGGAGGACCTGGGTTCAAATCCCACCTCTGAAGCAAGTCACTGAAAAGAAGTGGGCCTCATTTTCCTCACATGTAAAATAAGATGATTGGACTAGATGGTTTCTGGAGTCCCTTACAGCTCTAGATTGAGGATAATATGACATTTAGGAGGCAGAGGCATTCATTTTATATGCATTTTACATTTTACAAAGACAATGTGAAAAAAGAAAACTGCTGAACTTGGGTGCCACAGGGCTTGAGTTGGCCATTTACCACCTCTGCGAGCTCAGGAAAATAATTTCACCTCTCTGGGACTCTTTTCTTCATCTACAAAATGGCCTTCCAGGTCCTCCTAGAAAAGAGATTGAGATGTCAGGGCTGGAGCTAGGCAGGGATGCGCTGGAGCCAGCTTGGTCGAGCTTGGAAGCAGATGGTTAAACTTTTAGTATGAGTATTTACACCTTGGAAACTGGCTTGATTTGTTATTTTGTGGGTCGTCTAGACTTAAAAAAGTGATCAAGAAAATGCTAATGATTCAGATTAAATTTAAAAGTGGAGTATACAATTATTAGGTGGGGAGGAGGGTTAAGTTGTTACACCTTTACCCACATACCCCTGGAACTAGGATTCAATCCCAGCCCAGCCTCTTTTTATCTACATACAAAATCAACCCTTCCCCTGTCGTGCAGAAGCAAAATCAGAAAGTGCAAAAACGCTAAGAGTAAAGCCCCAGCTCCGGCTGCTTGCCTGCAAGCTGCAATTCTGTGGTGCCCTTGACAGCTCTGAATGCCCATCTTCCAAGAGCAGAATGCCTTAGTAACTCATTGCTGCCCCTTTCAGCACCTTTCACCTGCCCCCCACCCTATTCCCTTAAACCATGGATTTTGAATGCAAAAGCTTACAGTGATATGGAAAGAACATACAGGCTGCCCATCCTTTGTAACTGAGCTTGGGTTTTCCTCCAGCATGGGAGAGCTCTGCTATTCTTCATGGAGGAAGCTTATTTTATTAATTATATTTTAATTAATTTAATATTTAATTTAAAATTACAGTTTTTGTTTTTGTTTTTCACTACAAGGTTCCTGACAGAGTCTCACCTGCCTCCCCATCTGGGGAGAGGGGAGATTCAGGTGAGTTCTTCTCCATGTGACCTTTTACAATTAACTACATTTCCTTGTATCCAGCCTGTCCCATCCCTGGCACACAAGGCAGCAAGTCATCTCCTCCCCTTGCTGGAATGAGATCCCAGCTCGCTTTGAGTAACAGATGCATTTCACTGACCTGCTCTAAGGCTTACCGAGTGTCCAGGCTCCTGAAGACATTTAATTGAGGTTAGGTCGTGTGGCCCAGGTCACCCAGCAAGCTGGCAATAAATCCAGGATTAGAGCTCCCTGCCCAACCTTGTTTCCAGCCTGTGGCCGAGCGCCCTGAGCCAGACTGCCCCTCCCCATTTTTAAATATAAGAACGCTGACTTCATGAACACACATGACAGCTCTTTTTCAGTTTCTCTTGGCAGCTTCCTCCAGTAAGCTTTAGGGACAAATTTGGAAATTTTGCCAGGTTCTCCCCACTCCACCCTTTCCGGGGCTATTTGGGACAAAAAATGTTCAGTAAATCCCCAAAGAGTCACAAAAGTATAACCTTTGGTTTGCCCAAAAATAAGCAGAAAATCACAAGGGCCACAAAAGACCTCAAGTGGTTTTCTATTAACAGCTGGCATTCATAAAGTGCCTTAAAGTTTGCAAAGCGCTGTATCTATGTTATCTCATTCGATCCTCACAGCAACCCTGTGAGCCAAGTGCTATTATTATCCCCACCAGGTTCAGTGTCTGAGGCACAATTTGAACTCAGCTCTTCCTGACACCAAGCCATAGGTTCTATCCAACATACCATCTAGCTGTCATTTCCTGGTCTAAAAAAGCTTCCACGGTGGGCAAACTGTGGTAGGCATGGTTGGTATGGTGACCTTTGGAGCTAGCATGCTTACTTGCAGTTTTGCAGAAGTGAGAAATCTGTTTTCCCACAGACAGAAAATAGTTGTAGGATGGGGCACCCAGGCAGGCTCAGCAGTCCCTTGTTTGTAAGGCTTTTATGGCTTGGGGGGGTAGAGATGGAGGGGGGAGATTTTGTGCACTCTACACATCTGAAAGGTCCTTGGAATAAATACCCAGACCCTGTAAACAACACAGAAAATAGTCCCAGCAATGACAATGCTAGAAAACCAGTAAGCAGAACAGCTGCAACATTGAGATCAAGTTGGCTTTGGGACTGTGTTGGTAAACCATGGAACTTAATAGGCTATGGCTACCATTACTGTTGGAAAAGTGGGATTCAAGCTATTGGGCTAGTTAGTAGATAGGACCCCATGGTGTGGGCTGGCTAGAATTTTTCTGCATAAAAAGTAAAGTTTTGAACCATACTTGCATAGTACTACATGGTTACATTCAGATTCTCGAAACCTGTCTGGGTCCATCATCTACTCAAATTCTTAGCTACAAGCTTCCATTTCTATTCTACCTTCTCCTGTCCAAAACCAATTCAATACATGGCATAAGTAGAAATTTTCTCATCATTTTCTTGCTGTCTCTTCTGTCTTAAATCTTCTCAGGAATCTTAACTAAGCTCAATCCAACCTGAGTTGAACCGCCCAGATGACCCAATCCCTGAATCCTGTCACTTTTATAATGGCACATCTAAGACTTCTGAGCAATCTGAAGCATTTTTAATAGTGTCCTTTAATGGCTCTGCCACCCTTTCTTTCATTTGCCTTTAAATTGTTGGTCCTACTTTTTTAATTGGGGACATTACTTTTGCTAAAGCTCATTCAAAGGATACCTTCTAGTTTTTTGATTAAAGTGGCCTAGAAAATTATATGTAGATACCAGAATGGATCTCATAGATCATCTGGCCCAACACCTTTTAATAAAAATAAGGTAATTGGGGCCCAAGGAGATCACAAGATTTGTTTATGGCCACACAGGAACTGTGCAGCAAAGTTAAAGTTTGGTTGCAGTCCTCCTCATTTCAAAGCCAGAGGGTTTTTTGTTTTGTTTTGTTTCTTCCAGGGTCATGTTGCTTCCATCAATTGATGTCATACTTCCATGTTACCCCTCATCTTGATTTTGTCCTCAGCAACTTCAGTCCTTGAGTGAATCCCTAGCCTGCTAATGGGGCAATTATACAGGACAGAGAAGGGAATTTTTGTTACCACGTAGTTGAATCCTCTACCCAACCCCAATTTGAACCTTCTTCCTGAATAACTCTATGAAATCTGGAGATGGTAAAAAACTTAGTGCTTTCAAGATGGCAACAATTTTTTCCAAGAATACTTTGCTCCCTAACAGCTGCTGTTCAATTTGATTTTTTCTGATTTGTGAGCCTTAGTAGACCAAGCTAAAAGTAATTTGTCCCTCCACTCATTTATTACAGCACTTTATCTAGGACTCTTCATTACCCTTGTCATATTCTATTTTGTATTATACTCATGGGTATGTCCCCCACTAGACTGTAAGCTATGTGAGGGTAGGAACTACATAATTTTTCACATTCTTTCATATATACCTATCCATCTTGTATGTAGTAGACACTTAATAAATGTTTCTTGAGTTTTGGGGACACTCTTTGAGAAAAACTGATGGGAAAACTGGAAAACAGTATGACAGAAACTGGATATAGACCAGCCTCTTACACCTTATACCAAGATAAGGCCAAAATAGGTAGATGATTTAGACATAAAGGATGATACCATAAACAAATTAGGAGAGCAAAGAATAGTTTACCTGTCAGATTTATGGAGAAGGGAAAAACCTATGACCAAATGAGATAGAGAGCATTATAGGATGTAAAATGGACAATTTTGATTAAATTAAATTTAAAAGTTTTTGTACAAACAAAACCAATGTACCCAAGATTAGAAAGAAAACATTTTTACAGCAAGTGTTTCTGATAAAGGCCCCATTTCTCAAATATATAGAGAACTGAGTCAAATTTATAAGAATACAAGTCATTCCACAACTGATAAATGGTCAAAGAACATGAACAAGCAGTTTTCAATCAGAGTTATTTAAAATCAAATGAAAAAATGTTCTGAATCACTATTGATTAAAGAAATGCAAATTAAAATAACTCCAGGGTGCCCCTTTATGCCTGTCAGATTGGTTATTATGACAGAAAAGAAAAATGACAAATATTAGAGGGAATGTGGAAAAATTGAGATAATAATGCATCATTGGTAGAGTTGTGAACTGATACAACCATTCTGGAGAGCAGTTTGGAACTATGCCCAAAGGGCTATGAAACTGCGCATCCCCTTTGATCCAGCAATATCACTACTAGGTCTCTATCCTGAAGAAATACCCCCCCAAAAAGAGAGAGAGAGAGAGAGAGAGAGAGAGAGAGAGAGAGAGAGAGAGAGAGAGAGAGAAGGACCTATATGCACAAAAATATTTATAGCAGCTCTTTTTGTAGTGGTAAAGAATTGGAAATTGAGAGGATGTCTATCTACTGGGGAATAGTTGAACAAATTGTGGTATATGATTGTAATGTAATTGTATATTTGTAGTTGTATAATTTTAACGTATTGCCCTATAAGAAATGAAGAGCTGGATGATTTCAGAAAAACCTGGAAAAACTTACATGAACTGATGCAAAGTGAAACAAGCAGAATCAGGAGAACATTGTACAGAGTAACAACAACATTGTATGATGAAAACTGCGAATGACTTAGCTATTCTTAGCAACACAATTATTCAAGAAAATTCCAAAGGACTCATGATGAAAAAATGCTATCCACCTCCAGAGAGAGAACTGATGAAGTCTGAATGCAGATTGAAGCATACTGTTTTCACTTCATTTTTTTCCTGGGTGTTGTGTTTCTTTTTTTAATGTGTCTTCTCTCACAACATGATTAATATGGAAATATGTTTTGCATGCTTGCACATGTATAACCTATATCAAATTGCTTGGCATCTCAGGGAAGAGGGGAGGAAGGGAAGGAGGGAGAGAATTTGGAACTCAAAATTTTTAAAAATGAAAGTTTAAAATTGTTTTTTACATGTAATTGAGGAAAAAAATAAAATATTACTATATCCAAAAGAAAAATGTTTCCTGAATTGAATTGAGGTGATTTCACGGGAAGGAGTTACCAGTAATAACTATGAAATCTTTTTTCCTCAGATATTTTTGAGAATAGCCCCTTGAACATTCATGTATCTGAGATAATTTAGATGCAATTCTCTTTGGATGTCAGGGAATGGATAAGATGACCACGTTGGATGTGAATAGTGGTAGGTTGATGGTAGTTCTAGATTCTTGAAAGTTGAAAGGTCTCTATGTTTACTATCTTCAAAATGATGAAAAAATAATAACTTCACAAGATAAAAAATTACTATAAAACATATGTTATTTGGTCATATTATTACATTGACTGGGGGCAGCTAGATAGTACAGTGAATAGAGTGCCAGGCCTGGAATCAGGAAGACTCATCTTTGTGAGTTCAAATCTCACCTCAGACACTTACTAGCTGTGTGACCCTGGATAAGTCACTTAACCCTGTTTGCCTCAGTTTCCTCATCTGTAAAATGAGCTGGAGAAGGAAATGGCAAGCCACTCCAGTATCTCTGCCAAAAAAACCCACAAAAAAAAAAACCAGGGTCACAAAGAGTCAGACACGGCTGAAAATGACTAAAAAAACAACCACATTGACCTGGATGACATAACTCTGTGAGATATTTCAATACCATTGGTAAAGGTCCATTTCATTAAGAAATATCCCACCATATTTTGTATACAATGCATTCACTTATAGCCAGCTATTCAGTTCAATTTAGGAAGTATCTGTTAAGTATCTACCAAGGACTCAGGTAGTAAGAGTAGGTGGAGATTTGGGGATTTGGAAAAAAGGTATAAATGAAATGTACCCAGGAGAGGCAGAGATAGCTCAGGGAACAAGAATTTGAAAGCCCTAGCAGCACATCTACTTAAACATCCAAAACCATTTTGTGTAATTAAGGCCCAGGTTACAGTAAGACAATTGACTGAAAGCCACCAATGAATCTCACCTTAATAGATGGCAACTGTGCTAATCACCCTTTGGATGGCAAATATTGCTAGGTGATAAAAGCGCTAATGGACTAGTGGCTAATCTGGTGCTAAAATGCTGCTTCAGGAAAAATGAATTCCCAGAAGGGAAAAGGCTGGTGATGTGAATGACAGGAACAGCTGGAGCCACCTGAGGTTTCAATGATAGGGAACAGGTTATTGAGGTTCAGAAAGAATGAAGCCTGATATTATGGGGGGGGGCAGGGATCTGCTGTGAAATTTGCTTCAGAGGCTCCAGTCCATGAAGACTGTAGGATGGGAATTGTTCTGTTTATCTCAGAGGCTGTCAGCTCTATAACTACAGTTCTGTTTCTCTTTTAGAGGTCTGGCCCAGGGGTGGGGAACCTGCAGCCTCAAGGCCACATGTGGTCTTCTAAGTCCTCAAGCTCGGCCCTTCCACTGAATCCA